TCACATCATTATAATTCTTTTCTAAAGCATCAAGTCTCCTTTGGCTTTCCCTTTCTCATTATTCAAACCGCCCTTTTTTTGTCTAAAATAAAAACTCCGCTTCATCTACTTTCACCATTTTCCTACCTTTCTTCCTCCTCCACACCCCACCAACCCTCTCTACATAATTCCTCACCACTCATTCTTGTACAATCTCTGTATTTTTCTTTGTGTGTGTAGTAGAAAGAAAGAGAGCAACAGAAAATGGGAGCTAACAAGTTTGCAAGCATGTTACACAGAAACACCAACAAGATGACTCTTGTTCTCATTTATGCAGTCTTGGAATGGACTTTGATAGTACTACTTCTTCTCAACTCTCTTTTTTCCTATCTGATAATCAAGTTTGCAGAGTATTTTGGTCTAAAACCACCATGTTTATGTTGTTCTCGAGTTGATCATTTGTTTGGTCATGGAAAAAACAGGAACATACATAGAGATCTTCTTTGTGAGGTTCATGCCACTGAGGTTTCCAAATTGGGATTCTGCTCAAAGCATCAAAGGCTAGCTGAATCACAAGATACGTGCGAGGATTGTGGTTTTCATGGTGTTTCTGATAATTTCGCCTTTTTTCTTAAAATGATAGAAAATGTAAAGGAAATGACACTGGAAAATGGTGGTGAGGTGGCTTTGAATTGTTCTTGCTGTGGTGTGAGCTTGGAGACCAAGTTTTCAACTCCTTATATGTTGATCAAACCTGATTTGGAATATACACACAAAGGGAATTTAATCATTGAGGCTAATGATCTTTTCGAAAAAGGTGATAACTTGGATCAAAACAGATCGGATGAAGATAAAATCGAGAAAAATGGTGACAATCAGCTACTTTCTTCTGATGTTAAAAAGTTGGAAGGTGAAAAAGTACATTTAGTTCTTGAAGGAGTGACTGAATACATTGAGGAGAAATACAAAAAAAAGATGTTGAAAGATGAAGGTTGTGAGATTGAGGATGCAGCTCCCCCTCAGCATCTGGAATTCTTCATTGATTGCAGTGGTCATATGTTGGTCCCCGTCAAATTAATCCATCAAGATGTCAAGGAAGAGGTTAAAGCAGTTGTGGAGGAAGAGGCTGAAATTTGTTTGGGAGGGAGTGAGAGGGAGCCTGAATTTGCAGTTGTTGAATCTATGGATAATGATTTGATTTTCTATGCCAAAGAATGCCAGGAGGTTTATGAACAATTTGCCAACGCTGAAGAAGCATCTACATATCACCAAGTTCAAATTCTTGCAGCTAAGGAAAGGGAAGAAGAGAAAGAGGAAAATTCAGACGTTTCACCAGGTATTTATCAGTTCATCTTCTATGACTTACTAGTGTTTTATGTATGTAGGACTGTTTTTGTCTTATTGTGTATATGCTGTGGTTTCAGAAGAAATGCCAAACAATGAAACTGACGGAGAAGTGTCAATTGGGACTGAAATTCCTGATTTGGATCAAGCAGATGAAGCACTTACTTCATATATACATGAAGAACCTTCCAGAAATTCTGCTCATTTCCATCAAGTACAAGTTCATAGTAATTTTGTTACCTCTTTGCAGCAAGGAATCTGTTATTTCTTTCTTTCTTTCTTTCATTCATGATAATTTCTTTGTACCAAGTAAAATGAGGATTAAACCCTGTCCCATAAGGTTAAGTTACTAAAACTCTTTTGTGTGTCATATTATTAGGTCATAAAGAAGATGAAGTAGAATTGAGAACATTATCAGTTGATTTGAGTGGACATATGATGAACAACCAGTCCTCAATCTGTTCCAGCTTAAATGAAGATAAAGTTCACGATACACCAGATAGCTTCCATCAGTTACACCCGAAGAAAGATTCAGATTCTCTGGATGGAAGTGAGTTAGAGAGTGGAGATACAATTTCAACAGTCGAACATCTGAAATCAGCATTAAAAGCTGAGAGGAAGGCTTTACATTCTCTGTACACGGAATTGGAAGAAGAGAGAAGTGCTTCTGCTGTGGCTGCAAGTCAGACAATGGCTATGATCAAT